AAAAGAATAAAACGTGAACCAGGAGTGTTGATCGACACTTCCTAACAATTGGTGCCGTGACCCGTCGTGATACATTTCGACCACAATTCGTCGAACACGATAAGATTTTTTTCCTCTAGTGAAGTTGTTTTTTTTTGTCCTAGTCCTGATCGTCTTCGATTTATTTCTATTGTTTTTTTTCTGGTTTAACTTTTGTCTTTATGACCTTTATTCTGAAGTTATTATTCTTACTGGTGCCTATGTTATCATTCTGATCATTGTGTTATTCATTACTTTTATTGTCCTGTTTCTGCTGAATTTACTATTCGTCTTATTGTTATCGTGAAGTATTATTATTAATTATGGAAGAATTAATTCGATCAGTTATACAATTTGATGGTGCTTTAAATCAAGATGTTATTCAATGGCTAGAATATATTGAAGAAGTATTTGATCGAGTACAATTACAAACACCAAATAAATATATTGCTATACAATACTTTTTAACTAATAGTGCTGCTACGTGGTTTAAATATAAGAAATCAAATATTTCTGATTGGTTTACATTTAAACGTGAACTTATTGAAGCTTTTCAATCGTCGTCCTCCTTTTCCTCATCACATCTTCTTGATCAACATCAATTAATACTTAAAGAAGAACCACAAAAACTTGAACAAGAACAAGATATATTACCTGTTCCTGCATCGACTTCAACAATATCCAACAAGAAAAATGATAGTGAAAATTATCAATTAGATTTACTTCATGATGGTTCGATTAAATCATTAGAAAATTTAGAAGTTGATAATTTAGAAGATAAATGTTTACGTGAACATGAACAAGGTTATTACTCATCTATGTTAGTTAATACTAATGATTTTGATCTGGATATTCAACATCAAGATGCAGATGCAGCAGATAGTTGTGATACACAACAACAAGGCGAATCTGTTATTAATTCTGATTCTGTTCAAACTGATATTGAAGATACTTTTGAAGATTTTACTCGACCTATGGATAGTTTAACAGATAATGATTCATTAATTAATATTGTTTTACCACATGATGTTCAATATTTATGGTCTGATAAATATAAACCACGTCCACCTCGAATTCTTAATAAAGCTCCTGCTGTTTATAATTGGAACCGATATAATAAGCTACATTGCAATAAAGATGACTCATCACCACCAACTATTCAAGAGAATCAATTTAATACTGTTAGTAAAGGATGGAATTACACATATAATCATGGACTTCGATTTTATTTTTATAATGAAATGATTCAATTAAGATTTTCTTTTCGTAAATGGAAATATCGTCTCTCAACTTTATTTTGTTTTCGTAAATGGAAATATCGTCGAGTAACTTTTTCTGTTTGTTTTTATTGTTTGTCGTTTAAAACTGTTCTACCTTATGTTATTTTTTTCATTTTTGCTGTTTTTTCTTTGGTGAACTTATACTTTTATGTTACTCAAACTATATCTCAGGATATACATAAAAAAAAAAAAAAAGAAACAACAGAGTTACTATTGTTCATCTTCATCTATTTTTTCACAAGTACTGTATTCTATTTTTTCTATTCTCAGTGATGATGCTGTTACACCTCGTGTTTCTTTTATTTGCTTTATTTTCTATCTCTTTATTTGTTATTATCTCTTCGTGAACAGATAAAACCGTTCACTGGTAAGGGGCGGAGGTGTTAGGTAGTGGCGCTATCTTTTGTCCACTACCTCCTTTTTCTTCT